GATGAAGATGAATTCGACGAGTTATTCATACAACTCGGCGAGTCAAGGACAGGACCTGAGTATCAGTTGATGATGAACTATACGAGTTGTTTATACAACTCGGCGAGTCGGATGAGGATTAAGTCGATGTTCATTTAGGAGGAAAACTCGTCAAGTTATTGCGTAACTTGACGAGTAGAGGCGGGTTTGAGGTCTAACGGAAGGATACAGACTCGGCGAGTTGGCGAGCCAACTCGACGAGTCAGGTAAACTAGAAGTTGAGTTTGACTTTGACTTGGTCAGGGGTAAAATGGTCATTTTACCCTAAGAGTAGATATCAGTTTCTAACTAAGTGTTTTGTGTGAATTATAGCTGGAGGATTTCTGGAGCAGCAGCGGTAGCAGTCAGAGGATTCCTGCACAGTTCAGCAGCTGCTACGAGGTGAGTTACCTTCCAGTAGTGGTGGGTCTAAGGCCACAATGCCGACCCACCAGTAGGAGACATATGATAGATGATTGTCTTTGTGATATCATCTTGGTTTTCTACTACCTGATATCTTATATGCTAGCATGATATGTTGTATGTAATAGTAGTAGAGTTCGATTGTTAGGACTGAAGGGTAGTCAGGCACCCCAGATACGTCTGACAGTATGTGATGATATGTTTGCATGGTAGTTTGTTATGTTATATGCGATAGAGGTAGTAGGAGGGAACAGTCCCCGAGTTTGGTTGTTAGGACCAAAGGGTAGTTCAGGCACCCCAAATATGTCTGATAATATGTTTATGTTATGTTATCTTATATGTGATAGTAGTAGTAGGGGGTGAAATATTCCCTGAGGTTCGGTTGTTAGGACCGAAGGGTAGTCAGCGCCCCAAAATGGCTCGACATGGGCAGGTCAGCACCCCATAATGACTTGACATGGGAAGGACGACACCCCAGAATGGCCGCATGGGTAGGTCAGCTCCGCAGAATGGCCGTACCGGGTAGGTCGGGCACCCCAGAAATGATTGGCAGTATGTATGTGATATGATTATATGGTATGTGGTATGATGGGGGAATTCACTAAGCTTCGTGCTTATAGTTTTCAGTTTTGGTTTCAGGTACCTCTTCAGTGAAGGGGAAGGAGCTGGCGCGGTAGCGGCACATCATACACACACATTGGTTTTCTGCATTACGAGATGCTTTGGGATTGTACACTGACGTTATTTTTTTTCATGTTTAGGGTTTTCAGACACGAGATATGTTTTATGAAATGATATTATCGGATGATGTTTTACTACAAATGTTTTACAAACCAGTTATTTTAAATGAAATTTTTGGGCGTGAAAATTGGGTCGTTACAAGTTGGTATCAGAGCCCTGGTTTGAGGGACTCGGACACACCCTCGGGGTGTCTGAATTCAAATCAAGGGACTAAAATATCTTGAAAAAGGAAACGTTTTCTAAGAGTTAAGTAAAGAGTTTTTGAATAAGAACGAAGTGTGTGATGTGTGCGACTCGCCGAGCTCAAGTAAGTATTCCCCAAAGTACCCATACAAGTTTATGTTATGTTTATCAGTTTTAGTAGAACAACATTCTAGAATAGGACTAAGGATCTAGGAGTGATGCCGTATGTTCCTGCTTTATGTGCTTCAGCTTATGAGAGTTGCATGCTAGATTTGAGTAGACAACAGTAGGATAGCTTGTCTAGGTTATGCCTAATAGTATAAGCTTAGCATTGTATGCTATTGTAGTTCCTGTTATGAGGATAGAGTTGTTTGAGATTGTTCCCTTTTGTCCGAATGTTGTTTGTTTTGTGCTTTGTGGGCTTTGAGTGAAGGGAGTTAGCTGTTAGGTGAATACGTTAAAGTCACATGTGATCAGGGTTGAATAGTCTCAAAGTGTTCGATTTGACCCTATTATGTAGCTCTTGTTTGAGTCCTAACTGTTGTACGGATGAGTCCCTTACTCGAAGGATTATCCGAGCCTCGTTGCATGTGATTGTATTCAGGTAATGGCTAATTGGCATTACAAAGAGACCTTCAGTAGTTGAGGACTGGGTTGGGTGGAGTCAGAGGTTTCCTAGGGTAAGCCTAGGATAAGAGTAGCAGACATCAGCAGTGGTAAAAGGGATCTGGTGGAGTCAAGGCAATCCTTGAGGAAGGTACGGATAGATGTGGAAGGTAGTAGGGCCCGTACTACTGAAAGCAGAGGATCCGTACCCGAATTGGGGAAGGCTAAGACAAGACCGAGGCACTTGTAATAGATGTGGTCCCTTTAAAGATATCAGTATCACTAATAGTTGCTTATATGTATTGCAGAATGGTGGTACTACGTCAGAGGCCAGCAGTTGTTAGTTCTGGAGATGGATCGGGTTAGGGATCAGGTTCCGAGCTAGCAGATGAGAGGCTACGTGAGTTCATCGCGTCTGAGATCACTTGAGGCATCCTTGAGTCGACCCCCATCATTTTCGAGTCGATCAAGGAAGGGATAGTTGAGCTGATGGAGGACTGCCTCAGGGCGTTCAGGAGTGACATGGCATCTGACCAGTCAGGATCTCGCACACTGTCCTTTAAGGACTCAGGGGCAGTGGTGCGCTGGATTTCCATGGGGCGAAGGACCTCATTGCTTCCAGACGATGGATTGCGGACATTGAGTCCGCACAACTGACCAACTTCTACCCCGAGGGGTCGAAGGTGAGATATGAAGCAGGATGTTTACGAGATTGAGCTAGAGATTAGTGGGAGTCCGTCAGTGACTCATTGGGAGCCTCGGTTGTTGAGGCTATGACCTGATTGGACTTTGTGACCAGGTTCAGGGCAGATTTTGCGCCAGTTGTCGAGCTTCAACAGCTGGCCAAGGAGTTTTTAGATATGAGGCAGACGACAGAGACTGTGGTGGAGATCACCACCAAGTTCCGGGAGAGGGCGTTGCTAGTGCCCCAGTATACGGGGGATGAGGATATGAGGAGGACCCGCTACCATGACATGCTACGGGCTGACATCAAAGAGCATGTTAGCTTTTCAGCTTGCCCTACCCTGGAGTCCATGATCGCTAGGGCGAGGGAGAGGGAGATCGATCTGGAGCATGTCCGGAAGAGGAAAGTAGAGGAGGGGAAGTCGATTGGGGCTTCGGAGAAGAAGACCAAGGGATCAGATGGTAGGCCGAAAGGCCAATCAGGACTGGGCCGTTGCAGGAAATGCGGCAGGCCACAGAGGGGGTGTGTAGACTGGGATGGTCGGGATGCTACAAGTGTGGCCAGACGGGACATTTCAGCAGGGATTGTACTACCCCTGCACTAGTTATTCAGATGTATGAGTTGCTGTGTTTCCACTGCAACCAGATGGGCCACAAGAAGGCTAATTGCCCCAAGTTGAAAGCAACATCAGCGCCATTGAAGGATCCAGCTCCAGCGACCCTGCGGATCACTGATGGACGACAGGGCAAGGCAGAGGCTCCAGTGGTGAGGAGCTGGGCATTCCAGTTGACTACCAAGGAGGCACGCGATGCACCCGATGTGGTGATGGGTATGACTTCTTATTTATGCTGTTATGACATGTTGCTGTGATTTTAATATGTTATGTATGTGCTTTGTTTAGGATCGTTCCATGTGAACGATATCCGAGTTCAGGTATTGTTTGATTCGGGTGCTACCTGTTCGTTTGTTTCTCTTGCGCTCAGCAAGAGATTTTCCGAGTCTTCAGGCATATTGGATTGCCCTCTAGACGTAGAGATTGCAGATGACCGTTCGGTGCGATGATCGACGGTGTTCCGAGATTGTGTGCTGAGGTTATCTGAGGAGCGTTATCTGGTGGATTTGGTTCCCATACCTTTGCGGGGGAACAAGGTTATCATCGGTATTGATTGGTTAAGCCCTAATGGTGCAACGATCGACTGCGCGCAGCAGTTGGTGCGGATCAGGACTCCAAGTGGGGGAGAGATGGTTATTCAGGGCGAGAAGCCACAACAAGGATCATCCCTATGTTCAGTAGCGAGAGCTAGGCGTTACCTCCAACAGGGTTGCGCAAGTTATGTTGCGTATGTTATGGATACCCGGGAGGCGGGTAGAGGGATGGTAGGCGAGGTGCCCGTAGGACGAGAGTTCGCGAACGTATTCCCCGAGGAGCTGCCTGGGATTCCTCCAGAGCGCCAGGTGGAGTTTAGGATCGACCTAGTCCGTTCCTTTTGGACTTCAGACGAACTGATTTAGATTTCTTTTCAATTATCTTAGAACCTTCTTCATCAAATTATACTTTCGGTCTTGTACCTACAACCAGTTGCCAAACACTTATCAGATTGTGTTGCAGTCCTTCGACATATGCTACCTTCCGAATCGAGAATTCGCCATTCGTAATCATTCTGTAGCCTTTAATCTCTTCTGTGGCATTGTTTCCAAACTATACATGACTTCCATCCTTTAAAGATCTAAACTCTCCACTACTAGAAAAACAGCCTTTTATGACGCTCATTGCGCGTCGTAAAAGGCTCAGACGACGCACAAATGCGCGTCAAGGAATGCCCTGTCATAAAGAGAGACGACGCTTTTTTGCACGTCGTCTATAGACGACGCGCATTTACGACGCTCATTTATGATGCGCATTTACGACGCTCATTTACGACGCGCAATGCGTGTCAAGGAAGGCCCTGTCATAAAAGAAGACGACACGCATTCGCGTGTCGTAACCTTACGACGCGCGTGTTAGTGACACGCAATGCGTATCAAGAAAGCCCCTGTCAAGAAAGGCCATGTCATAAATGAAGATGACACACATTTTTGCGTATCGTAAATTTAAATGTTTAAAAAAAATAAATTTATATATTTATTAATTTTTAAATTAAATTTGCATTTAATTTCTCATAACAGAAATAAAATACCATATACAAAAAATACAATCCATTGCATAATATAAAATAAAATTTCATACTCAAAAAATAAAATAAATTGCACAAATTATAATGTCATAGAAAGAATCATTCAAATGTTAAACAAAAATAATACGTTGCTAACATTGGTTATACATTCCTATAGAACTAACAAATAATCATACAACTCTGTTTCTTACTAGAAAGGAATGCCAAACATTATTACAAGTCTCCCTTAGTCTTTGATTACTCACCTGCTTAAGTAGAATGTTGTTGTTAAGAAGGTTACCTAGCAACAGAGAAAGAAACAACACCTCTCCCACAATCACAACATCATTTACAAAAAAGGGTTGTCAATTACTTTCATTAAGACTTTCATTCAATCACAAAAATATTAAATAAAAGGGTGAAAAAAAATAACTTACTTTTGATAAGTTGATCTCCCTTAGAGCAAACACAGCTAAAGCATTGAACAAGACCCTAGGGTCTTCTTCTAATGGAAACACAATGCTCGTCTGCAAAATTGAGTTGATAAAATAAAATTTGAATATCGTTTGGGTAGTTTATATATGATTTGATAATTTAATTTAAAATACAATAAAATAAATTATCTTTTTTGTTACCTTATAGGGCTTGTCAATTCCTGGGATTATAGGTTCTCTTGCTAGTATTAAAAACGAGTTATGTTATCTAAATCATCTTGAACATTCAATATAACAATTGTAAGAGAGAAGGAGAAATGTATATTTGAGAATACTATGAGATTTGATTTTTTTAATGTTATCAATCCATAAATTAAGCACAACAAATAGTTAGCTGTCTTTTTTAAAAACTTTTATGGGGGTATAATGACCGAAATGCCCTTGTGTTTATATACATGTTTACAAATATAACTTTAATAACTAGGTGACACCTGGATTGTTTGTGCTAGAATATCAAGCCCAATTTCAGCAGCCCGAGAACTTGCAACTGCTCTAGTGTCTCGTATGGATTCCGAGGCTACAATCTATTAAAAAAATCTCTTAACAAATTTTAAACAAAGAAAAAAACACAATATTAAAAGTTTAAACGCAAGAATTAGCAAATAGTTTCATTTACTTATCCATAGTTTTAGTTTATAGTAATCAAAATAAAATAATAAAGAAAAAAGTTGAGAAGAACTTACAGCTTCTACCATCAAACAATGAGTCAGCACTAGCTTCAATTACTTGATATGTTCCAACAATAATGTCCATAATAAGTGTAGCCATTTGAGACATGAGGACCATAGGGTAAACTCCCAATTCCATCAGTTCTTTGGCTCTTTTCACAGTTTCAGCTGTGTTTGATGACATTGTTAACTCCTGAAGTTCCAATAAATTCTCATCAAAAGAGAACTCCTATCTACAATCAACTCCAAAAGAATCAGTAAAAAGTTTGAATAAAAAGTTACAAGGATCAAGAAACCAGTAGATTAGATACTTACAAGTTGATTTCCAGCCTCCAAAGCATCTTCATCTTTTTCATTACTTTGATTTACATCAAAACCATGTACATTTTCTTCCATCACTATATCAGCAGTATGTAGCCCTAGCCCATGCTCCTCTTTATGTTATCTAAATCATCCTGAACATTCAATATAACAATTGTAAGACAAAAGGAGAAATGTATATTTGAAAATACTATGAGATGTGATTTTTTTAATGTTATCAATCCATAAATTAAGCGCAACAAATATGTTATCATCCTGAACATGTCACCAATTAATAAAAAATACGCACCTATTGTCAGGCCTCTGTGATGAACTTTAGTTGTGATTCAGGCTAGCACTGCTTGTCACTCAGCTTCTCAAGCTACAAAAACAAAAATTAAATGTATTTGTTACATATTTAATAAAAAAAACTAGAGACGTATAAAATATACAAAAAATGGCATACATGTGTGCATTGCACTTGCTGAAGATCTGCCAGGGCCTTTTGTCTAGATTGTAGAACAGAAAACAATAATTATCACTTTAGTCAAAATATGAGCTGAAGTAAAAATGTGTACTGAAGTAAAAAAAAAATGTGAATTTCCTCCCAAAGAATCCTGAAATCAAGCAATCTACTATATTGGTATTACATGCCAAAGTTTTTTTATAGGAAAAAAAGATGTTGGAATGACAATCAAGGATAAATATATCTTCAGTCATCAAATCATCCTGGCTGAAGTTGTATATCTCAGTGACCTGCATTAATGATATAATTAATTTATTTAATTTTGGTTTAAATGGGTAATAAAAGAAATTCATATAAAAGAGAAAGTTGACCTTGAGATCTCCTGAACCAGCGAAGTTTCAGAAAAAAAAAAATTAGTATTTGTGTTGGGCTGTTGGCAAGTAACCAAAAGAATTGAATCCAAAATAAAATTTGGTGTTTGTTTAAACCTTTTGAAAATGTGCATGTGAACAAATGGGGATCACTGTCAACATCTCTAGCAATTTTCTGACTTGGGTATTTAGATTTTCCACCTAAAATTTCCCAAAATTGTTTGGACTCTAAACCCTCCTTTTGTAATTTGGACTGCATATTTGGCTGCAAGTATTGCACATAAAAGTAAATCATAAAAGTAATAAGAAGTTGACTTTTTTCTAAAATGGGTTGCTTGGGTTTCATTTAAAGATGCGAGTTTTGGGAAAGAGATAAATTGAAATGGGTTAGTTGACTAGGTCGTTCGATGTGGCATTGGAAGTTATGTTGTGGGTTTGTTGAAGGATGATGACTACAATGGAGAAGTGTATATAGATTATTTTTCATGTTATCTTTCATGTTACCTGCTCAATGTTGATAGTGAATGGACGCTTTGATTGGCATTTTGGGCAGGAACCAACTTTCACTTTTGAATAAAAATTTTGGATAAAAGGTCCTAAAACTGTTCCACATTTGTTACAATCATACTTCACTTGCTGTAATTGAGAAAAAAACTCCAGATCTTCGGGTCACAACTCCTCTTATACGGATCATTTTGTTTAAATGGATTTGCTTGTGAGAAACATTTAAGATTGTTACCAAATGGGTATATTTCAGTTAACTTATAGTAGAGAAGGAAATAAACATCATAAATGTTGTAAGATGTTACAACTTTTGTCAATTCATTGATTGGCAAGTAGATAACTGTCTTGAATGGAGCTAAAGAACAAAGCTTACATAAGAAAACTAGAACATGTTCATTTCTTGCAGTGTTCCTTTTAATTATAAAGCAAATACTATTGAATACCTTAAGGTTAAAAGACAACAAGGAAATATTGTAAAGAGCATTAATGGTTAGATATATGGCAAGATCTGGAGTAAGTATCAATCCACCTTTTCATTTACATTTGTAGGTAAGATCAACTGTTATATTCTTATGAAAGACATTCAATAAATTACCAACACAACTCTCATGTTCTTAACTACAGAGTATGGTAAAATCATTTGAGGTTACTGAATTACCAGGTTTGTTATTATAGTCTGTTATTGTACCCTTTTATTTAACTAGAATTTAAATTTTAGATCTGATGCATACACAACACATTTGCATTCAGATCAGCAAAGTTCATAGCACACAAGCAATGGGTTGTTGCTGGTGCAGAAAAATTAGGAAAGAATGAAAACATCATTTCAGCATCACTTCTAGGTAGAAGGGTAAAATGGTAAAATGTCCAAGATCAGCAAATAATGCTTCTGAACCTGATTATAAGAATAATAATAAATAGTGCTTATGAACCTCTATTCAGCATCACTTCTAAGTAGAATGGTAAAATAGTCATTTACTCAATAAATAACCAGTCTATATGTTCATTCATCACTTTCTAGAGACAGATATCATTTATCCATCTAGAAAGTTAACATAAAAAAGAAGAAAAATAAAAAAAAGGAACACAATCACTAAGTCTAGCAGAAACCTAGGTCCCAGTTGATGCTTTTGAAGCCCATACTCAACAGTCCTATTGAAAACAAGAATCACTGCATTTTGTGCAGGTGAGTTATGTGACTCTACAATCTTCTTACAATAATAATAAAAAAAAGAAACAAATTAAAATGATAAATTGTATAAATAATAAAATAAGATATTATAAGTATGAAACTAACTAGCAAACCTCCATTGCAGTAAAAGTGATCCATCTTTCATCAAAATCAGAAACAGGACCTCCATTTGCTATATGAGCGCCTGAGTTGGCAGTTGAGATTTCTCGAAAGACGATGCTGAAGCAAATAGAAGAAAGATGGGTGAGTGAATAAATACATAAAGTGTATTAAAAGAAATTAAAAATGTTGACCTGGATTTACAAGTGTAATTACTAAATTAATTATAGGATTATGAGCAACAACTGCAAGAGCTAAAGATCCACCAAAGGAATCTACAACTAGATAAATTAGCTTCTTTGTAAGCATGTTCAAGCTTCACAGTTTCTTCAACAAATTGAATCAAATCTTCATATGACAAAAAATAGTGAATAAAACAGATTCTAGTAATGCGTGAGTACATAAAAGCATATTAAAAATAGTTTCCAAATAGGTGTAACAGCAGAACAGGGGAACTTGCTTTTTGGTAACACCAATGGTTCCTAAGTGACTGTATCCTTCCTCACAATCAAGAATATATCATAAGAAGGAAAGACACAAGTTGAAAGAGGATTGGACAGTGGTCCTTTTGTGTTTGTTTATTGATGTTTGAGGATGATGAGATGACCAATTTCTCATAGAGCAACAATCTCTACAACCTTTTGGTAACTAGTTAGTTGAACTTGCCCTATATGAGTTGTTGCAGGAGGAACCTAATTTACCGAACCAGACATGGATCCATATCAATACCACGTCCAACAATCAGTTTTGAAGTTTTAAAGGCATTTCTTTAACCCCAAATTCAACCAATTTAGCATCTTTTGAAACTGGAGCACACATAGCTTTTTGATGAAACCCAATCATAGTGCCAATTCTCTTGCTCACATTACCCCTGTTTTAAAAAAAATCAATAAAAGAATATAGTCTTTTCATTTTCGAACTCAGATAAACTAAAAAAAGAAACAAATATTACCATGTTTTGCATTTTTGAAACCAACATATTGGCTTCGTCATTGGAGGAATCAAAGTACACAGATACACCTTGTATTTAAATACCCTAATTCGTCGATGTCTCAGATTCGGTACCTTGTACCAAGAAAGCCCTAAATGTCTATGAGATAGGAGCGATGACACCTGGATCGATTTTGTTGAGAAGCATCGAGCATAACACTGAATCTTTTGGGAGTTGCAGTCGCATGCCAGGAGAGGTGAATGTGATGTTGCAATGGTCTGTTAGAGATAGACAGAAAGGAGGGACATGGATGGCGTAAAAGGGTGGCCTGGTGGTTCTAGGGTTTTTATACAAATGGTGGTGTTAGTAACCAACAATGGTGGTGCTAAAGAGGGGTGGTGATCTTGTGATATGTTGTGTCGGTGGTATAATGGAGCTTTATTGGAGGCGGTGGTGAGCCAGAGAGAAGATGAAGGGTGGTGGGTGGTTTTCGAGCAATAGGTGGTATAAAAAGAGAGTAAAAATAAAATAAAACCCTAAGATAGAAAGCAGATGGTGATGGTCTGCCAAAGGGAAAGTGCACAGGTCTTCCTTCAAAAGAGACAAGGTTTTTCATTAATTTTAGGGTTGCAGAGAGAATAGAGGGAGAGAATGGAAGGAGATCAAGAGGATAGAGTGTTTGTAATTTTTTTAGGGTTTGCAGAGAGAATAGAGGGAGAGAATTGAAGAAGCGGGCATTTAAAAATTTTAGAATTTTAGAGATTTCATTTTCCCCACTTAAAAACGCGCGTCTAACTAAAAAATTATAAAGCGACATTTCTAGATGACACACACATTTAACATAAGTGCCCTCCGTGTTTGTAATTTTTTTGTTGGACATTAATTCTAGGGAACTTACAAATGCGTGTCTTCTATCCTTCGAATATTGCAAAACTAACACTATTTTTTAGGGCACGCACAAATGCGCATCCTCTATCAGCGCGTGTCATTGCTTGCGCGTCATTAAAGGGCTGTTTTCTAGTAGTGCTCGTAATTCTTCTCTTCTCCCTGTCATGTGACGAGAACAACCAATGCCAATATACTATTCTGAATCGTACTGTTCGTCACGTATAACTTGCCAAAATTAGAGAGATTTAGGAACCCAAACTATTTGGGTCCTTTTGCGGATTTCTTTTAAACAAGAAATATCTTAGTTGTTGGATTAATGTCTGAGTCCATAACTATAATTGGTAAGACTTGACCCGACCCACCATGGTCCATTTGGGTTGCGTGGCATCATGCATTTGGATAGACTATAATGAGATACATAACACTTAAGGTTTGTTAATATATTATAAATTTATAATGTATTAATAGGATTATTTAATTAGTATTGATCAAGAATTAATCTAGAATTAGTTAAGTGATTAAAAGAAGACTACTTAAATATATGGGTTGATTGTGTAAATCATCCATACTGGCATAGTGGGCTAATTCTCCATGGATTATCAAGTTGGGCTAAAACCTATAAGATGCTCCATGGTGTATTTGAAC